AGAGAGTTAACTGTGATTGTGCTGGAAAGTAGGAATCTGAATTTAAAGATGCAAAGGATCCCCCTAGAAAGGCCTTTCTGTTCCAACTTGGGGGCTAGCTGCCATTCTCTCTCTCTCTCTCTCTCTCTCTCTCTCTCTCTCTCTCTCTGTTTAGATTTATCTGTTTTTATTTGAAAGATAGATTTGCAGAGAGAAGATAAGACAGAGATGCAAAGATCTTCCATCCACTAGTTCACTCCCCAAATTTAAAGCCAGGAACATCTTTCAGCTCTCCCAGGTGGGTGCTGGGTCAAAAGCACTTTGGCCATCCTCTCTTACTTCCCCTTCACCTAAGCAGGGAACTTGATAGAAATAAAGCAACTGGGACAGAAACCAGCACCCACATGGATGTTGGCACTTGAAAGCCATGGCACTGGACCCAAGCTGCCTTTCTCTTTACCAGATTTGTCCTTAATTCTTCCAAATCAGCCATTACTCCTTAAAACTCTGTAAAGCTTTTTACTAGCTTTTCCAGTTCAAAATCCAACCTGTAATCATTTTGATATCTGATGGATGTTATTCAAACTAAGTGAAGAAACCTATATGATAACCTAGATGAACTCAGAGGATATTATGTGACGTGAGTTCACAGGCACAGAAGGACAAATAATGTGTAAATCCCCTGTGTATGTTATATGAAAAATAGTCATACATGCAGACAGTAGAATGGTGACATCCCAAGCCTAGGTGAGCAGAACTTGCTTTTCTACTGGTATAAAGTTTTACTTATGTAAAAGAAATAAATTCTAGAGAGCTACTGTACTCTGCTTTGTATCTGGTTAACTTAAAAAATTTAAGCATAGGCTGGAACTGGTGTTGTGGTGGAATGGGCTAAGATTGTTTGCAATGCAATGATCGAAATCCATACTGGAGTGCCAGTTCAAGTCCAGGCTGCTTCACTTCAATCCAGTTACCTGAATATGTATCTGGTAAAACAGAAAAAGATGGTCTGTTCTAGGTACTTGGGCCCCTGACATCCACCTGGGAGGCCTGGATGAAGTTTCCTGCTCATGGTTTCTGGCTGGCACTGTTCTGGCTACTGCAGCCATTTGGAAAGTTAACTAGCATATGAAATCATCCATCAACATCTCTCTCTCTCTCTCTCTCTCTCTCTCTCTCTCTCTCTCTCTCTCCTGCTTACATCCTTTAAAAAGTGCTACCTCCGCAGCATCATACACAAGAGCCAAATTATGGAATCAATCAAGACGCCCATCAGCAGATGAACGATTAAAGAAAATATGGTACAACACTCATCACATGCATAGAGACAGACATAAAAAGGAACATTATCTGGTTACAAAAAGAATGAAATTCTATTATTTGTAGCAAAATGACTGAACTGGAGTATATTACGTTGGATGAAATAAACCAGACAGAAAGGCAAATATAGCCTCTCTGTGACAGTTGGAATAAAAATTAATAAATGAATGATAAAAGGAAAAGACTGTGTATCAGTTTTGTTGCAAATCCAATATTTTGTAGAAACATGTCAAATTTTTAAAAACAAATTGATAGGAATTCAATATGACTACAGTTTTAACGACCTTATGACTATACCAAAATTCAAATGTATATTCATTTCATTGTTGCTTAAAGCCCTTGCCTGTTTTCTTACTGGACTATGGACTATGATCTTTTTACTTTTTATTTGTTGAAATGTTTATGTAGTGCAACATTAAACATTTGATTATAATGTAAATTAAAATGTATTAAAACATTAAAAAAACAAAAACACTTAAATGGTTAAGATAATAATTTTTTAAAAAAAACTAACATTGTTCAACAAATAAAGTTTATTACATAAAGCATGAATTATAGTATATCTCAATAATGCAGTTTGTGGAAATAACAGACTACATGAGAGCGTTTCCAAATCTTCACGGAAAGAAGCATTAAGTATATTTGTGGGGAAATAATTCTGTAAGCTGCATGTAGGGTGGTCCTCAAAAATTTGTGTGAAATGCATACAATGCGAAAAACTGGATTTTGAAATTTTTGCCACATTAAATAAACTTGCGTTTAATGCAGTGCTTCACAATCTTTTTGATGTATTCTCATTTCATAATGTAGTTGATAACCTTAGTGCTAGCCATTGTTATCAATGTCTTCTATAAAGTATCGAATTCTCATATTTTCATAAATTAAATAGTGCTTCTAGTTTCATTTCTCAAATGATTAAATAAGTTATGGAGTGATAACTTACTAGTCATTTTGTAAGCCATATCATTAGCCCTCCCCCCAAAAGGGGGGAGATTTAGCAAGGGTATAGAAAGATCAGGCAGACACACAGGTCCAAAATGTAGATAGTAATTTTTTTTTTCAAAAAGAAATTATAGTCTTTTGTGTTATTGTTCCATACTGTTCGAAAATAAATATATGAGCAGGTATTGTGGTGAAGCAAGTTAAGCCGTCACATGAAGCATCCACATCCAGTGTCAGAATGCTTGGTTTTAGCTCTGGCTACCATGCTTCGGATCCAGTTTCCTTCTGCTATATCCCATGAGATGGCAGCACATGATCACCCAACTACTCGGGTTCCAGTCATCCACATGGCACAGCTGGATTGAACTCCAGCTCCTCCTTTTTGGCCCGGCCCCCACCGTCCACTGTTAGAGGCATTTGGGGAGTGAATCAAAGGATGGAAAAATCTTTCTTTCTCCCTGCTTCTCTGTTACTCTTTCAGAAAACACCATAATTTTAAAAATTAAGTAGAGCTAATTATGTTATATTTTCACAAAGTGGTTTGTAAAACTAGACGCCAAATTTTTATGAGTGAATAAAAAAAAATGCCTGGAGAGGGCCTGGTGCAGTGGCCTAGAGGCTAAAGTCCTCACCTTGAACATGCCAGGATCCCATATGGGGCCTGGTTCTAATCCCCGGCAGCCTGCTGCCCATCAAGCTCCCTGCTTGTGGCCTGGGAAAGCAGTTGAAGATGGCCCAAAGCCATGGGACCCTGCACCCGCATGGGAGACCCTGAAGAGCTCCTGGCTCCTGGCTTCAGATTGGCGCAGCACCCGCCGTTGTGGTCACTCATCAGACAGAAGATATTTCTTTTTTGTCTCTCCTCCTCTCTCTATATATCTAACTTTGCAATAAAAAAAATAAACAAAAATGAAAAATAATGCTTGGAGAAATAATAAGTCTCTGGAATAGTTTGTACATTTAAACATCTGTTAAAACAAATGTGTCAATAGCATGAGGTTAAAAACAAAAACCCTTTCCTTGTAAAGTTGGACAACTTCCAAAATAAAAATGTCAATAAAGTCAACATTGAAGAGAAACGAGCAGAGAAAGAATATGAGTTACACCATCTAATGTGTAACCACCACTCTAACACATCTATAAACTACTTTCTTCTGATAGTGTCTCAGATCCTCAGCCTGAAAGGATATGACAAGCAGATATTCTTCTGCCAGCCAGGAACAGGCCCCCAAGGAACTGAATCGGCCAGGCCCTTGACCACAGACAGCTCAGACTCCAGTATTCTAAGCAGCAAACTTCTGTCGTTTTCAGCACATAGCATTTTTACTGTATGTTTCTAGGCTGACTCTGTACTTCATGTATCTGAATCTCCATAGACGGGGCCAATGATCTGCATCTTACAAAAACTCTTTCAATAATGCCGAGGAATAGCCACATTTGGAAACCCTAATCTAAATTAGGCTGCCTATTAGTGCTAACATGGGAGTTGTTAAAAAAAAAGAAACCGTTTTGTAATATCTATTACTCAGTGCAGATGCAGTAATTTAAAAAAGATGATTTAGACACTAAATGGGACATGGAAATTAAAAAAGATTTTTCCTAACTAGAGATTTGGATATAGTAGTCATTGCGATTAGATGCAGATGAAATGTAGAGAAATAATAATAAAATTAAAAGAAAAACAGGAAAGAATTTACATGGAGGCAGTTCATGTTATAAAAGATAAGCATAAAGATAAAAAATGTTATTTTAATAATGGGCATTCATATTATCTAAATGACATTTGGAAATCATCCTTAATGCACCATTCTATATTATTTTATTTAATATGCAGAGAAAGCTTTCTGCTTTAGTCATGTGGGTCTTATTCCTTCTTAATATCACAACAGTGTTAATGATAATACTATGGTTTGCTTCCTTAATTCCAACAGCCAGGTAAACTTCAGAAAAAAAAACATAAAAACAATTAAGTCACTTAGGGAGCATTTATAGTCAGTAAGTACAAAAGGGTAACCAGTTCTCTTTCAGAACAGTAATGAATACTGAAGTTAGAATGAGATTCCTTTTCTTATAAGTAGTTGTGCCACATAAAAATATTTTGAAAGATTCATTGAGGCTTGGAGAATGGCAATGCTCCAGCGTGGTTCATACCAGCATAATGAGAACAGTTTCTAGCAGCTTCGCTGGAGCTGTCAGACAAATTCATATCGCTATTCCTCTTGTTCAGATAAAATCTAACATGATCAGCTTCTATATGATTTCCAAGAAGAGATTTATGAGTGCAAACACTTGAACTCTTCTAAGCTTATTGGTAAGACAGTTTGGCTAAATCTGTTAATATGTGACTATGTCCCCAAATTGCCTTTGAAACGTTTCCTTCCACACTCATCTTACCTATGGTAATACAAAGGACCACTTCCATTCTGACCCAAGCACGCTCAGTTTTTACATGTGTCTCAATATCCCATATATTTCTATTGCAATTTTCTTTAATAGTATGGATTCATGTTTATAAAATATTTGCATGAGTTTAATAAAGCAATTTCATAGTTTAATAAGAGGCTAAGCTTTAAAAGATATTCAACAATACAAAAACATGCAAAAGAAGCAAAATCTTTTATGCAAAATTCTCTGCCTCTGGATTTCACATACTTAATGTAATTCAAAAAACCAGCTGAAACTGACCATTTCCTATTGAATGAACTCCAAATCAAGAGGCTGGGGAGACTTGAACCAGGAAAAATCTTCACAACACTTACATGAGATGCAGACACCAAAGTGTTTTCAGGCTTCTTGCTAGACGTGTGCATTCCATGCCATGGAGTGCAAATAAGAGGATGTCCCATGGAGAGAGAAATAGCAGAACAAACTGATGCAAAAGCTTCCTTTCATCTATGTGACAAAGAAAACAGATCTGAATGAGAACCTGATCTACTTTCACCTCATGTAGAGCATCAATGAAAACATTTTGGGTATTAAACTATCTTCAGAAAAGAGATCCGGTAAAGGAAGTGCTGTAGCAAAGTGCTAGCAATGGAAAGACAAGTTTCCACTCTCCAGAGGGTCGTTGGGTCTCTACATTCTTCTGTGGGCCTACTGCTTTTCACCTGGATGTGTTTATAAAATGTGCATATTATAAAGTCATTAGTAAAGTTATTAAGGCCAGCTGAAATTTATGGATTGTTAATACAAAATAAATCACACATAATACAGGACAAAAATAAGTGGAATAATTTCTAATAATAAATTTATATACAAAGACAGTACTTTGTTGATGATTGCAAAGTGGCTGCCTACCAGCAGTTCAAAGTGCCACTGAATCTTGGTTTCTTGTTTTAAATCTTCAAGTCCTTATTTCCTTGCTGCTGGCCTATTCCTGACAATTGTTCAGTTTGCTGTGCATCCACAGGAATAGATGGAGGAAGAAATACCTGATCTGTATGTGTAAGTTTAATATAATACCCTATGGGTACACCATATTCCAGCCACTGCCTCTACAGCTTGTTGAGGGATGCACATCAGCTTTCTATTCTGTATCAGTATATAGCACCTGCTACCACTAGAGCAGGAAAAAGACAGACGTGGCTTTAAATCCAAACCTAGTTATTTGAAACACAGCAACCCTCCTCTGCAAGTCAAGTGTAACTTCTTGCACACCCTTACATTTCAATTGTCATATAAAACTATAGCAAGTTGATGTTACAAACACACCTTAGCATGCATTTACATGTCATTCGTTGATATATTTCAAAGTTCCCCATTATTATATTGCAGCTTCCTATTCCAGTTAACTGAGTTCTGCGAATTTGGCCCTTTACTCTTCATTCTCCCCTTTACTTTGGCTCTCTTGGTTCCTTCTAAGCCACAGAGCTTATTCTTGCATAAGAATCCTGGTTCTAGCCACACTCTCTGAAGGTATCAGTCTCCATGATCCACTGGTTGCTATCTTGTTACTCAGACCTCAGATAATTATCACCTCCAACAGCAAGCTCCTCTCAACAACACGTGTTTCCATCACTGATTATCAGACTGTCCATTTTAATCACACTGAGCATAACACTACCTGATTTGTATTTGCTTGACCACTTACATTATCTATCCACATCTCCTCACCAAGACTTCAGCAAGTTTTCAGAGTGAATTTTATAAAGTTCTTCTTGCATGTTACATTCATGGTTAGAAGCATATATGAGAACTAGATGAATGAAAGAATAATGATATAAAATAATGAATATTTTTGTTCCTTCCACCCGACAACATGGTATGGAAATCAAGCACATATTTTAATCGCCTTCCTGTACTGGTTTTACTTCATTACCCTCACAATCCTTTGCTGAAACTTTTCTAATACTTGGTTCAGGTTGATCTCACAAGTTTGTCTACTTTCATTCATAGAGGACCTTCTCTTCTTCAAAGTCCACAACCTAGCAATACAGTGTGATCTGTTACTGATAATAGAGTCCAAATATCATTTTCTCACTCAAATGTCTCACGAAGCAAGTAGCATTAAATTCAAAAAACAAAACAGTAACTTTAGCTCTGGAATATTCCGTCTACCTAGAATCTTCTTTTGTATCACCGTAAAAAAAAAAAAAAAGATTCAAATTTTTGGATGCACACACACATACTTTCATTCTACAAAAAAAGAAGCCAAGGCGTCATTTGCCCCACATTATTACATTGGGGAGATAACTAAAAATTGATCCGTTATCTAACTGGATCCCTGTATCTATCATGCTGCTTTGAGTACTCAATATTCTTAATAACAACAATTTTTCATTCATTTGACTTATTTGAAGGACACAGACGAAGACACAGAAGGATCTTCCATGTACTAGTTCATTTCTCTAATGTGCACTAAAGCCAAGACTCTGCCAGGCCAAAGTCAAAAGTCAGGACTTCAGTTCAGGTTTTCCACAAGGGTGATAAGGTCCTAAGATTTACAGCCATGAATCACTGCTCCCCGTCCCCACAGGGCCTCTTTCATCGTGTCCTGTGGCCTTTTATAAATGATAGTGTAATTCTTGAATAGAAACATAATCGAAAGCCATAAGCCAGAAGACTGGAAGGCAAATTTAAATATCATCAACACTTTCTCAAATTTTAGTGTGCATTATAGTTTAAAAAAGTATTTCACATTTTCTATACTATTTCATTGAAGCCTCACTCAACTCTGTACAGTACACGTGTAGATTTCACTATGAATAATTTATCTCCACCAAAAAGTGACTAATAAGATAGAAGAATACATATTTAAGTTTCATATTTCCGTTAGTCATATATTTCCTAGGTATATCCAGCCAGCAATCTATATTCTAGAAAATTGGATTTAAACATGACTGGCTCCGTGTCTTGGTTCAATGAGGGAGACAGATGGTTAAATAATTCCAATTAAATGTGACTAAGTGTTGAGGTGGAGCTTCTCACCACTGTTAATTGGCAAAACCAGAAACTGAGCACATCTCTGGATAATTCCAAAGTCATTATACAAATGAACTGTATCATACATTGTTTAATTATCTATTGTTATTCCAAGTCTAATATATTACAAAAAAATGAACTCATAGCACAAAGACTTTCTTGTTTAAATAAGATTTCATATTAAAAATTAATAAGAGGATTAGAGTTGCCCTCATTTGAGGATTTACGCCTCCTAGGGATGAGAGGATCAGGCTTCTTGCAATCAAGGCAGGGTCACCAAACATCCTGGTTTGCTCAAGACTGAAGGGATTAGCAGAACTGGATTTCTACTGCTAAATCCCAGAAACTCCTGGACAAACATTAAACTTGGTAAACTTAAGTCCACTTTAAGAACCATATTATAAGTTTGTCATCTTAAGAACCATTTTTGGACCTGGCATGATGGCACAGTGGCTAAACCCTTCCCTTGCACACCCCAGGGTCCCATATGGTACCAGTTCATGTCCTGGCTGCCCCACTTCCCATCTAGCTTTTTGTGGCCTGGGAAAGCAGAGAAGGATGGCCCAAAGACATGCGACCCTGGTCCTGTGTGGGAGACCAGAAGAAGCTCCTGGTTCCTGGCTTATAATTGGCTCAGCTCTGGCCATTCTGGCCACTTGGAGAGTAAAATCAAGGATGGAGCATCTTCCTCTCTCTCTCCTTCTCTCTGCAACTCTGCCTTTCCAATAAAAATAAATAAATCTTTAAAAACAAAAGAACCACTTTCACTTAGGCTCAATCCCATTGTGTTAGATCCATTTATCTCTAGATCGAGGTGGATTATAAACATTAACAAGGAAGAGGAAGTTAAAAAAATGACTTGACTTCATGAAGAGCATTTCAGATTTATGCAAATTGATCTTAAGCATCATCAATTACCACATGTGAGCTGCATAACATTGCCAAGAACTGATATTTTCATCTTTATTTTTCAAAGAAACAGACACAGGGAGACATGAAAGTTGGTCAAGGCTATGAAGTTTAAAATTGCTAGGAAAAAAAATCCAAAAGCCCAAATTATGCAGGGGTTTCACATCTGATAGTTCAAACATAGCCTGATTTTATAATACCCTCACTCACCCAATCAGAAACATTATTTGTGATTCTTCCTCTAACAAGGATATAACTAAAGGGAAGTCAATCAACAGAATTAGAGGGATACAGTATCAAAGGGTAAGCTAATGTGTGCATTCCTGACTTCTCTGAAGGGCTTAACTTTACAACTGTCTGAGTGCCTTTATTGTTGTGTCGCAACCAGGCCAGTTCCAGACACTGCTGGGGCCATCACAGAGTGCGCTACAGACACGAAGCCCTGGGGTTATTTATAAATTCGTGTACATCAGGTCAAGATTCCAAGCACCTGGTGCCTTTTCACTCAAATTGAAAAGGAAATTCTGGTTCCTTTTTCATCCATGGATGGATGACTCAGATATTATTCAGCTCTCAATGTCTGCAGGGCTAATGTCATGTTGCACTCCTTCCCAGGTTCAGAGGGCATGATGTGTAATCAAACCTGCTGCTTCAGTCCTTCCCCCACCTTCTTATCTGATTTCTAAAGCTCATTTCAGGCAGACCAAACACACACACACACACACACACATACACACACACACACACACACACACACACACACACACTGCTATGGCATTTCCCACTATAAATTCCAACTACAAAATTCACATAACAAATTTTACCACAATGACATTGACATTAACCCATGAATTCTAGAGAATAAAATAAAATGCCTCTTGGGAGAAGTTCTGATGGAGGAGCCTGGGCAACTCCTCTGGCAGGACACAGACCCTGCAGGTAAGCACAAGAAGCATGATAGGAAACAGCTCAGAATAGGCCATGGAAAGTTTCCCACTGGCATACATTTGGCATGAGTTGGGGGCAGACCAGGCTGAATCAGCTCACGTCATCCACTGGCAAATCTGAGCACCAAAACAGAGTGTGGGTCGGGCCAGGTTCGGTCGCAACAAAAACCAGTGCACAATATGGAACGTCAGGGAGGGGTCGCCTGTACCGGATGTGACTGCAGTGCCCATACAGCACATGTGAGAACCAGGAAGGGAGGGGGCGGAGCCGGCAGGGGATTAAGGGGTGGTTCCCTTGCTGGACAGCTACTCCCACTGGAGAGCTTGAGCTGAGATGGGGACAGAACAGACTAAGCAGGGCTACAACACCTGTGCGCCTCATGTGGACTAGATCAGGGAAAAGTCAGGCTGGGTGTATTATTCCTATTGGTGCAAACAAAATTAGAGTGAGTGAGGGTTGTTTGGGCTTAGCCACGCTGGCAGAAGCTAGCACTAGGGCTAATTCTGTCAAGTCAAACCTCAGAACCACCTGGAGAGTGCATAATCCAGGAGTGAGAGAGAACTGGGAGGGAAATAGTGGGCTCCTCCCTCTTAGGTTACCACTTCCAT